TTTTAATATTCGTAAATATTTTCGTTGTAAATCTAATTTTTTTTTCAATAATTCAAGACGTTTAATTGATGTTTCAAAACTAGGTAAACATTCATCAATAAGATCAATAGCATCTGAATAATTATCAGATGATATTTGTTTTAATCGAGTTTCAACATTAATAACTTTATCAGTTTCATCATTAATACGTTTATCTAATATTCGTTGTTTATTTTTTTCGATAATCATTTCAGCTTTTGTTGGTAAAACTTTTTTTGGTTGATTTTTATGTTGTTGTTTCTTTTTATTACCACTAGATGCAACAGAATCTGTTTGATCAATACAATTTTCTTTATTTGATAGTAAAGGAGTTGATGCAACAGGAAGAACAATTTGTGATTGACTATCTCTAACATCACGCGTAGTTAATGATTTACCATATAAAGTGAAATAGTCATATCTATCAAAAAGAAAAAACAACATCCGTTTACAATTCATAATTTCAAAATGTTAAGATTATTGCTTACAATTTTTGTTGATTTCTTGTTCGATAACGATAGTCTTGTGTACCATTCTTTTTAATATTTTTATCACGTATACGATCGATTTCATTACCTACCTTAAATTAAAAAGAAAGAATCAATAATTATAAAGTACTTATTATTAAAAGCAACTTACTTCTTTGTATGTTTGCCAATAATGTTTATCTATAGATAATATAAAAGATTGTTATAAATTAAATAACAAGAATAAAACAAAAGTTTTACCTTTGTATTGAATTATATAATTGTCATCTGGTCTAATCATATCAAATGTTAATGTATCATTTGAAGAAAAAATTGGTTTAAGATATGCATCAACAAAAGGATTTGATATTCGAACAATTTTCTGTCGACTTTGTTGTTGAATTATTGTCGATTGGTTTGTTGATAGTAAAGATGAGAAAAAAATATCATTCGAATGAATTAATTCTTTCACAATATCTTGAAATATATTTTCATTTGATGGTATATTCAATAAGTCAAGACTTTGTTTAACAATTACATATGTTTTTGAATCAAGAGAAATTTTTGATGATTGATAAATTTGATAGAGAGTAAAAGTAAAAAGACGTCCATCGAATAGATCAGCAATTTTTGAATAAGACAATGATGAGACATTTGATGCGAAGAGATTTGATGAAAGACGTTGTTGAAATTGTATTATATATTGAGAAAATGTTGAACTATATATAATCGAAGGAATTGATGATGGAAGATGTCGATCAATTAATGATAAACGAATAAGAAGAGCTACATGAAGAATAAGTAATGGACTAAAAAATTGTACAAAACGTTCATGTATGTTTTCTTCAATAAAATCAACAATTGTTTTAAGATAAAGAAAAAGTCGAATATCATTTTCACTAATATCTTGACATAATATTTCAAATTTATTCCAATCTCGTTCTTGCATATTATTCATTATATTTAAATCTGATGATACTGTTTTAACTAATTCATTAAGTAATTGTTTTGGATACATTCGATTAAATTGAATTTGAAAACATTGTACTGTTGTTTCAGTTAATATTAATTTATTCATTAAATAAAGTTGACATTGTACAACATATTGATGATAATTACCAAATAAACGATATGTATAAAATAATTTTTCTAAGATATCTTTTGATAAAAGTTTATCATTTTCTTTATTAAATGTTGACATATCATGATAAAATAAAAACATTGGTTTTTCTTCTTGAATAAATTTTAAATATTCATTACTAAGCCATGATGAAAATTGTTGTAATCTTACTGTTCGATATTTATCTATATTTTTAGAAAGATGAATTATTAAACAAGAACGAATAAGACTAAGAATTGAATTTTCTTTTTGATATAAATGATAATGACAATCAAAAAATATAAGTGTATAATTACATTGATTTGATTGATAAAAAAATGTCAGAAGAATTCGTTCAATAATAAAAATCACATGAAGTGTATTTCCATAATTTAAATTAAGATTAATATTTATATGATGTGCTATAGATAAAATTAATGAATCACCATCAATAAGATAATGTGTACTATCACGAAATTCTCGACGTACATCAAGAAAATGAGATGTACATGGATATAGAATATCAATATGATTTGCTAAAAAATTTGTTGTATATATTTCCATTTTATTTTTTGATAGAAGTGTTTGAATTATAGTTAACATTGGTTGATGTAATGAAGAAATAATAGATGATAATGTATCCAATGGAAGATCTCTTATGAGACGTTGAGATTCATTATCATTACTTATACCTTCAAATATATGTGAAGCAATTTGTTTTAAAACAATAGTAACTATTTTATCATTATCACTCTTAAGACATTGTTCAATAGCAAAAAAATAAAGTTCGTTAAAATGAACATAATGTTGTTGACAATAATATAAAATTCGAAGAAGTCGTTGACATTGATGAACTATATTAACATAAATATGTGTTGTTTTACTTGAATGATGAGTCTAAAAATAAATAAATAAATAAATAAACAAACAAATAAACTATTTTTATTTTTATATTAAATATATATTTACATGTTCATTTTGAATTGATTTTTTATTTGTATTATCTTCATCTTCTTCCTCATCATCTTCTGATGATGATGCTGTTGAAACTTCAGAAGAAATTTCACTTTCTGATTTTTGACTACTATCTACATTATTCAATGTAGATGTAATACCATTCCGATGCACCTGTTGTAATTTACGTAAAACCATGTGTTCCCAATCCTTAAGATAATGTAATTGAAATAATTCATTTTTTTTATGAACATTTTCAATAAACGCTATCTCGGATGTTGTTTCCGTATCCAATAAATAATTTATAAAAGTTTCAATTTGGTTGTTCATTTTTGACAGACAAGAAAAATAACACAGGATAAAACGTATATATAGTCTTTATATGAAAATAAAAAACCCAATGAAAAAAAAAAACTTATCAACAGGTTTTGTTCTTTTTTTCTATAAGAATAGAAAAACAGAAACTCATAGAAAGAAAAAAATCTTCTAATCACGTGACACATTGTTATTGAGTAATTACATGTGTGAGAAAATTTCTTTTCCACGATGGAAATTATCAACAACATGATGCAATGTAAAAATTAAGACATTTTTCCGAGCTCTTACGAAATTTTTTTCATGAGTAATTTATCAGTTATTTAAATATCGAAAAAGTATTGAATATTTGCTGTTATCTTGTAATCTAGTAATCAAATATTCATACAAACCGTAATAAAAGAAAATGTCATTTTGATAAGAAACTAAAGGTGCGCTGTTTTGATGGGAGTTTTTTGTTTTTAAATATGTCCAAATTCAAGTAGTACTTCGATTATAGTTTTTTGATTTTTACATTTTAATAATTATATTAGTGATATTATAGATGAATTCATAATATTTCTTTTCTTTATTTAGTCTATAGACAAATAGTAATATCAGATAGACAAAGAATCAAAATATGTTTCGTAATTCAGTAATTATTTGACATAGAGCGTTCACTTGGCTTTTTTTGTTACAACTGATGTGTAGTATACAATCGAAAAATAAGATTTATAAAATATAAATTGATTTTTCTTGTTATATCAAATCTTGAATATTTTTTTCATTCATTTTATTATCTTTAATGTGACTTACAAAGATGAAAAAAAAAATATTCAATTTTTAAATATAGATTTGATTTGAACTATTAGATTGAATTTTGAATCTTTGATTCCTATTGTATTGTAGTATACATTATCATTTGAATGGTAACGAATAGTAAATTGTTTATAAAAATCATGTAATAAAAACATAATGGTACAAATCTAAAATTAGTACTAATTTTGAATTTCAATGCTTTAAAATTTTTAAAAGTTTGTAAAAACTTTCAAAATTCTTATCAGTCTGTTTATGTATATACACATATATATTGATCTTTGTTTAAAATAAACAGAAAAATCAACATCGAAAAAACTACTGACAGTCTCTTTTAAATGGAGGAGAAACTCACAAATCAGAATTACCCTTCGTATATTAAAGAGACGATGATAGCTATTAGGTAGACATAAACCAACGGAATAATTTAGATCGAAAGTGAAGAGAACAATTATATTTTAGCTCTTCCTAAGTAGAAAAGAGCCATTTTTTTCTGTTATTCGATCAAGTAGGAAAATATTTGATATGTTGAGCTAAACTTTATATCATATTTTTATACTAAAATAAAAGAAAATGAGTTGAACTAATATTTTCTCATAAAAAATATTGTTCGAAATTCTATTGAAGAAATATTATAAGACTTATAAAAAGAATTTTTCTATTATGTATAATGATTGAGATTGAGTTCACATAGAATATATTTCTTCATTTTTCGATTCGAATTATTCAAAAAATCTATGTATTAACATGACGAGCATCAGATGTGAAAATGAAATGAATTGTGGATTTAATTGTCAAAAAAACAATGCATTGGAATTACGAGTTAGTCGTGATAAATTTTTGATTTTCAATAAAACTCAAAAATTTAGGATGACTAATTTTCTGCTGATTTGTTCTTCTGGTAATCGTGAAAAATTTCTTCTATGAATAAGCAAAAACTCAACTGGAAACTAATTATCATTTGAAATTCACCATACGGTTATTGAAGTGTTAAAAAGTAAACTAATATAGAAAATGTCTATGTTATTTATTGTCGAAGTTCACTACAACTTATATTTCATCTTTTTCTTAATGAAAGGACCATAGTTAGAGCTCGTCAGGTCCAAAGTTTTCGGATCCAGACTGGATCTGAGATCAACTCGACGAGGTCTAATCGTAGTAAAATCGATATTCAATTCGTAACTTGATAAAACTTGTTTATTGATTCGAATACAAACAATAATTCCTATTGACTATCTTTGAGATATAAAAGAGATGAAAAGTTTTATTTCAAGAAAAAAAAAAGAATCTTTTATCTATTTGATCGTTAGTATTTCTTTTACAAAAAACAAGAATAGATGTACAAAGAAGATTTATATTAAACGCGAAAACATAACCAATCGAATGAGATTTCGTCGTGAAAAAAGTGAAGTTAGAATAATAAAAATTATTCCAAGTATTCCATAAATTAAATAAACATATAAAGCTATATATCTTTTTGGTGTTGAAAGAATTGTCAGATGAGCAGTTTTACTTTCTTAATAAATTAAAATAATAATATTCAAAAAAATAAAATAAAATAAAATAAAATTTATTCTATTCGAATAAACATACCACTATCAAGTAAAAGAACAACATATCCAATACGTTGAACACCCATTCGATATGAACATGTTGGAACTGATATTTCATAAACGAAATTTTTTTGATTTAAATCTAATGAAAAAATTGATTGTGAAAGAGATTCTTTAGCTAGATATTTATTTATCATATTTATACGATCATATGATATTATAGAAAACTAGAAATTTCAAAAAAAAAAAAATTTTTTATTTTCTAAAATTTAAATAACAAATCTTTACATACATGATGACTATCACCTTTGAGAATAATATTTGGTTCTAATTCATTGATAAATGGTTTTATAAAACGAGCAGTACGTGTTAATATTGGCCAATGATTTAGTATAATACGAAAATTTGCTGTCATCGGACGATTTTGTATTTGTTCCATTATTGTATTATGTTTTCCTTCTGTAAATGAATCAAACATATCCATATCTAACTAAAATAATTAAAATAAAATGAATTTTAAAATTTGAAATAACAAAAAATACTTTTAAAAATTCAATATCATTTTGATGATATAAAGCAATTATACGACCAAAATAATTTCGAAAACGTTCTCTTAATATTGGTTGTCTATCACCATAATATTCTCCGCCAACATCATTATCACCTGGAATAATAATATAACGTTGTTCATGATTTTTATAATCAAATATTAGATTAAATCTCTCAAAATATCGTTTAAATTCATCATCAGATGCTGATAAACCTTCATCAAAAATATCACCTAAAAAAACAATCCAATCTGGTTTAACATAAGCATTTGCTTGTGCAAAAGTTTTAGCAAGATATCTATAGAAATAATTCAATCATAAATAAATAATTAAATATGACAAATCTTACCGATCAGCTTCTCTTCTAGTTATAAAACCCAAAATACCTTCATCTTTTTCACCAATTAATTGTGGATCAGCAACAAGAAGAAGTTTTTCAACAGATGATCTATTATAGAAAAGAAAAACATAATATATGAAATTCTTTTAAGTATAGTAGCAGATATAAGTTTACAGCAGCTTTTTTTTGGAATTTTTTTTTTCTTGATGGTAATAGCTAAGAAGAATATGAAAAAAAAAACATTTGAGTAGCTAAAAAAACTTCCAGACATCCTCATCCAAGTAGTTTTATTGAATTTTTTCAAATTTTTCCTACTTAGTACAACCGAGAAAACATCTCAAAAATACAGCTACCCTAAACTTTTGTTCGTTACTATACATATAGTGGAAATACAGAACTTTTACAATGTGCTCATAAGATTATTTCATAATTTCAGAACAGAAGAAGATAATAAATATTACCTTGACAAAAGATTCATTCTTTCTCATTTGTTATATCGAACATATACGATGTCAGAAACATGACACAAAGTACAACTTAGAAAGAATTGTCTTCATCTTACAACTATACATGCATCTGCTTTGCTGAACAAGATAAAGATATAATTATATTGTATCAAATTCATACGACCTTTTTACCTCATTTTACTTAAGATAATAATAGTCTTGAGTTTTTTTTAAAATATTTATATAGACATTGAAGTACTGTACAAAGATAGACATGCGGAAGAGTGCAGTCTTTATATTCTAATAGTTTAAACATTCAGTTTTCATCTGCAAAAGCAACGGTTTTGTTTTTATTTATTTTGAGTCTTTCAAAGACAGAAATTTTAAACAGATTGCTGAGGATGGTATCAACTAATATCTAGAATTGCTCTTTAAAGATATACATTCAAATGAAGATAGTAGGAACAAAAAAGAAAAGAAAGAATATAATTTTAAAAAAGCATTGAAAAAAGTTGTCTTTATATTTCTAATTTTCATGTCTTTATCAGATAAAAGCAAAACTTAACTCATGAACTATCTACCATTTAGTTCTCATGGTAATATCTATATACTATGGACTGCTGACTTTAAAAATACATCAAATTTTTTTACATCTTGTCTTCTTAATGAATCGATTCCACTTTCTTCTAAGTTCTATATTCCTGAATTTTTAAGGCAGTGTAATACATTTCTAGGAACTTCTGCCCTGCTCTACAGAACAGAATACGGTGCAAAAATATTGCTCTGTGCTCATCTGTGATACTATATGACTTCTATATAATTGTTAATCTAATTTTTGTATATAATAGATCTTCAACCTCTAGTTGAGTATTAATTTTTATTACATAAGTAATGTGTAGTTTAGAAATCGAACTATATTAGTTTATCTTTTGTCTTTAGCAATCTCTTTTATGCTTTTTCAAATGATTATTAGATTTTATTCGTTTACACTTAATTTCTATAATCCAAACTTAATCAGTTCTTGAAACATCAACATATATAAAACGAGATAGATTAATACAAAGTTGGTCTCTATTAGAAACAAGTGGTGTAACCAGAAATAAATTCTTAGGGCGGAGACTCTTTGGTAAAGCTTTTCGAGACAACTCAAGCGCTTTTTTCAAAGCAGAACCCAACTGTTGATGAAAGGGGATGAAATCTATCTGATTAGCACCACTATTAGAAATTAAACCATTATGTAAAATTCATATTAAACAGTACTAAGAAACTATTTTTTTTGCAAAACGAATCGAGTGTATTAACCCAATATAAAACGGATTGGTTTTTCGTCGATTAACATAGAAAATTCGATCAGTTTCCAAAACCTTTAACTTGTATATTTTCTTCTTACTTTTTTGCTATTTCTTCAATATTTGGCCAATTAAGACGAGCCCATTGATAAAGTAAAACTTCATTAATAAAAACTACAAGAAGTCCAGTAATAATCAATATTTGACAATGTGTTGAATTACATTGTTTAAGTCTTCCAAAAAAAAAACAATAAACCATTTAATCAAAATTATAAATATACAAAATATGATTTTTCTCACTTTGAATAAAAACGCGATCGGATATAAAAACAATTAAATTTATATTTCAATGATGTATTCAATCGACTCATATTTAATATAAATCAAATAACATTTTCTTTTTCTTTTACTTCAATTTAAAATTTTTTTTTTTGGAATTATATTATCTGTAAATAGATCATATCCTCGAGTTTAACAAATGACAAGATAAATATAGAAAATAATTATGTCAAACAAATAAACAAATGAAAACACTAATAAACCAAAGACAATATTTTATTTTTTTTTTTTTCGTTTTAGTCACTGGTATTTTTTTCATAAATCTTTTTTAAACGTTCAATTGCATCATATAAATCACGTGGAAATGTTGCTAATGTATCATTTAATCGTAATGATATACTATACATTTCTCTATAATCTTCATAGATTAATTTTTTACTACTTGTTATTTTTAATATTTTAACAATTTCTTTTAAAAATGTTTGTATACGTCCATTTAATATAGATAAAAGACGTTGAGCTTCTTGTGCAAATATATCATTATAATCATCGGGATCAGAACTTGTTCGATGTTGATCAATAATATCAATTGTTTCTTGACATTGAAATGATGCACGTAAACCTTGTTGAGAATATTTTAAACGTGATGAATTGTCATTTGCATCTATTTTGAAAAATGAATAGTTAGTCATATGACTTTGCAAAATTAAAATATATGTTTCTCAGGATAATAAATTTTCTTAGAGCTAATTTTAATATGTTACATATATATTAAGATACTATCCTAAAAAAATCAGCGTTAGAGACCTTTGTTCAGACGAGTTATCAGTAAAAGAAACTAGCGTTAACGATGTGATCGAGTACGAATATACAAAGGATAAACAGATGCTCTTATAACAGAATGAGAAGTTCAAAACGACACAAATTGATAGGATCTCTATAAAACCGATTTTTGAAGTGTGATCTTACTGAAAATTTCACCATAGATGCAACACATGCGGTAGAGTTTATCCTGAAATTTTCCGATTTTTCTTTTCTCATATGATTAGATCGATATTCGCTAATTATCTTTCAATTAATAATTAAACATATGTCTATATTAAAGAAATTTATTCCGAAAAAATAACTTTTGTAAAGAATGAAAGTTGAGGCTGTTCCATTTCATCTGCAATAGCACACATATGTTCTTACTTTGAAGTTCAAAATCAGCTAAAGCAACTTCTTCAATTAAAAGACGTAAATATTCAAGTGGATTATCATTAGGTGAAAATAATTTTAAAGCTTTTTCATAATGTAATGAAGCTAATGAACGTAAATGTTTTCGACGAGTTTTACTTTCCTTAAAACAAAAAACCCAAAAAAAAAAGAAATTAATTAAAAAGAAAAATAAAATAGATTTTTTTAACATACTTCTGTACGAAAAGCATTATGTAATAATGAAGCTAATCGATGATGAATTGTACCAGCTCGATATTTTGCTAGAGAATAACGATTTGATAATGGACAATGAAGTTCTACTTCAAGATATTTTAATGCACGTGTCATACATTCAATAACTTCTTTTTCAACCTTTAAAAACAAAAGTAAAGAAATATTTTCTAGTAATAATTAAATCTTTTGAATTTTTTCTTCTAGACATTAATCGTCCATTTAGACGTAGTTTTGTTTATGTTTCGAGATTATAACTCATTGTTTATATTGTTAACTGTAATTTCTATTTATAAAATATGGCAAGATATAACTAAGTAGAGCTTGATCTCTATTTTAAATTGAATTGATTGAAACGTAATAGGTTACTTGTAGAAAAAAACGACACAAATCTCGAAACTTTATGCGTCAAATGATTCGTTCATTTCAATAATGTTATGTTTAACTAACGAGGAACCGGTTTAAAGTGTCCGATCAAGATTGTGTTCCCATAATACGCAATGGTGAGCAATGTCAATGCCTAAAATGGTTCGCTCGTCTGAATATTTATTCTTGAGATATCAAATTTCGAGTTTCAACTTAAAAAACTCTCAACGATACCAAATCATTGCGACAGTTTCATTGATTTTTGTTTTTAGCGCTCCACACCCGGAGATACCATTATACGAAGAATGATTGCTTTTTTTTTTTTATTAGAAAATTTTCATCATTCATATCTCAAAGTAAAAGATACAAAAATAAGTGAAAACTTCACAATGAACTAATATTATGGAGAGCTTTATTTATGCAAAGCTTTAAGTCAACTCAAGAACAAAGGTCTAGACAATCGAACCATTTTAGGCTTTGACACTACTCATCATAGACTACAATCTCGATCAAAAAATGATCGAACACTTGGACACAATCTCTTGTGACAGATCAGAATGAAATTTAAAAAAAAATGTTTTGTTTTGCGGAAGAATAAAACAGATCTCAATTGTCTGTAGAAAGAAGAATTCAGCAGATTAGTGATAGTCTCAAATCGAATTTAAAAAATTTTATCTTGTCGTTATTAGAATTCGACAAGTTCAATTTTAATTTGAGTCTGAGAAATTGTTGAAAATATTCTCTGATCTGTTCAAACAATTTTTTGTTCTATTTTCTATTCATTATTTGACTTGATTTATTTTTCTTCACATTTATTCAGAAAACGTAGACTTACACTTCTCTATTTTTCGGCCTAACAATTTTGTTCCAATAGATTATTCTTACATAGTCTCAATTACAATAATGATTTTCATTTAATCCATTCTGAAATGTTTCAATGTCAACTTTTGAAATTTTATTTGTATTACTTACATCTTCTTGAGACATTGTACTCAATGGTGCATAATCTTGAAGTGATATTGCCATTGCAAAATAACTATTTGATAATTCCCATGATAATGTACGATAAATATCAAATAAATCTGAACGATTTTCAACTAATTTTAATCCACGAAGATAATAATCAAAAGCTTTATGATAACTTTGTCGTTCTTGTTGTGAAAATTCTTGTCGAATACCATCTATTAATGGAACATAATATTGTGCATAATATCTCATTAATCGACCAAGATTTGAATGTAATAATGCAATATTTGATATATCATTTATTTTTTCAAATGCATGAATACCAGCATCAAAATTTTCAAAACTTTTTCGAAATAAATCTTTTATATCCTAAATATAAAAATTAAATTAAACCTTAGAAAAAAAAAAAAAGATTTTAATCTTACTTTAGTTGTTTCTTCATCCAAATTTTTTAATGCTTGAGCACATTGATTCATCCAATAAACACCCATTTCATTTCTAACATTACCTAAACGTTTTTTTAATAAATGAAGACGTTGTTTATCATTATCACTAAGATTTTGAATTATATTTATTGCATATTCATAAGCATGTGCACTAGCAGATAGATTACGTTCAATAATTGGTGTTAATTCAAATACCCAAGAAAATTCTTCAACATAAGACAAAAAAAAAAGATTCATTTAATAAAAGCAAAAAAAAAAAAGAATAACGATTATAATTTACCACAAGAATTTTCATCTATTCCAACTTCATCAATAACATTTTGAATTTCACAATCAATATTATTCATAATTTGATATTGTTCACGAAATTTTTCAATTTCTTCTGTTGATGTTACATGTGATATCATTAAACGACAATCACCAGCTATACTCATTATATAAGATAATAATCTTTTACATTCAATATTATTATTATTTTGATCCATTAATTGAAGTTTAAATTCAGCACCTTAGATTCAAAAACAAAAAATAAATAAAAACAAATAAACAAATTCTTACTATAACAGTTAAGTGCTAAACGAAGATAACGTAAACAAGATCCATAATTTTTATCTTGTTCACATCGATCAACAAGACAAAAATAAGCTAATGCTGCTTTATGTAAAATAATTGATTTTAAACGTTGATCACATGTTAAACGATTTTTACTATCAATTAAAAATTTTGTACAATTTCGTGTTGTTTGATAAGGTAATGGTACAATCACTTTCGATTTTTGATCAATATCATCAGATGTTTGTTCTTTTCCATTTGAACCTGTAGTTGCTTGTGCACGACGATAAACTCCATTACTACGTAATGCCTATAAAAAGTGTAACAATCATTTAACAACGATCTTTTTTTTTCTCTCAACAAAAATGAGTAAAACATCTTTTAATTTATATAGAAATTTTTTGAATTGAAAATAGAACTTACTGCAACTAAATATTTTAATGCTTCTCTAGCTCGTCCATCAAGATTACCATGAATAGGACCAAGACGTGGTACATCAAGATTTTTATGAAAACGATGTTGTTGAGATTGTACAAGTGTTTTAATATCAACACAAGCAAATGTAACTGATTCTTTTTCATTTTCAAATGATAACTAAAAAATAATGACCAAAAAAAAAACAAATAAGTTTACTAACAAAAAAAAAAAGAAAAATTTCCTTACAGTATCTTTAAATAATTCTGAATCTGATATATCATTTTCATCAAATGTCCAATTTCGTTCACTAATATTATCATCAATAAATAAATCTGCCATCATATATGCAGCAGCACAATAATATTCGGGAAATTTTTCTGAATCAAGCATATCTAAACAATGTTTAAGTAATGTACGTATTGTACCAGATTCTTTTAAACGTGTTTCATAATCAGAATTTAATACAATATTATGTGCCATTTTATAAAGTAATGTAGCAACTGGTAATGTATATGGATTATCATCACGATCTGTTTCACATAAACTTGTTAAATCATATAATTTAACAATATCATCATCTGGACCTAAACAATGTTTTTGTTTTCTTTTATTAAGAATTGATTGAAATAACTAAAAAAAAAAAGATAGAACATTACCTTTAAATAACCAATATGTATGGCCTTCTTTAGTTGCATTTGCTTTAAGAAATGAAAGAAGATTAGTTGCTAAATCACGAATAACACCTGGTGGAAATTGACAACCTTCACGATAAGGTATATCTTCTGTTTTAATTATTTCATATGATTGAACAATACCATCAACATGATAACACATTGCTAATTCAGGTACATTACACATTAAATTATCAAGCCAACAATCAATACCAGTTAAAACATTTATTGGCTTATTCATATCCCTGAAAAATAAAAATAAAAAAAGATAAACTTCACGTTTACAAACGATTAAATTCTTTCTACTGTGATATAATTTAAAGTTTTGTCAAAATCTCATAGTTATCATCAGTTTTTTGCAGTATCAACAATGGAACAAATAATTTTTATTATTTTAAATAAATTCATCCATATGATGTCTTCTATGAATTTTCTAAGAAACTCATTTAAGGGTATCATCCTTCTTTTCTGACTATTTCTGGTTCTTGAAGACAGTAGAACCGATCGAGCTGAAATTTTTTATCACTGATACTTGGAAGCATTCTTCTGACATAAAATCAGCCATTTTCGTTTTTGACTTTCCTACCCCGTTTGACAGAATCTTGAAAGCCAAAACCTTGGTCTTGGCACCAAACATTTATGTATAAAAAAAGAAAGTGAAATTCATGAAAAAGCTTAAAATTACTTCTGAGATATAGTCTTAGGTATTTCCAAAAAAAAGTTTTCAGCTCAATCAGAGAAAGTTTGATAAGGATCGTAATGTACCAGAATGTGATCCTATGAAAATCAGTGTAAAATTTCAGCTTGATCGTCGAGAAATAGAACCGGTCAAAAAGAGGTGGTAGGTACCTTAAATCCTGATGTATTTAATCAATGATCAGATATAGGGGGACATAAGAGATATTGAGCAGATAATGATATAGCAGATCATTTTTATCTTATTGTAACTATTTATTGCATAATTCCACAAAACACTTTAGCGTCATTTCAAGGATAAATACCGCATTCTCACTTTCTAAAATAGTTTTCCAAGAAGAATAATAGATTGTATTATCAATGTTAGCTCATGCATTGTTATAGTCATATTAAATGATTCTCTCTATTAACATCTCAATGAATGATGATTATTCTTTCGAAATAGAAAATACCTTAAACGAAGACTAACAGCTGGATGTTGTTCATCACCAAAAATAGGTAAATCTGAACCAATTAACATTTTCATATTTTCAAATGTCCAATTAACAGTTCGTTGAAATGGTGATGAAGTAAAATTTGTATTTTTATTTTCATCATTATCATCATCAATATTATTATTTGCATTAACAAGGTCTTTTATTTGTTGAAGAAGTGCTGCAGCAGTAGTCGTTGTTGATTCATTTGTTGTTGTTGTTGCTGTTGCTGTTGTTTCTGTTGATTGAGATTCATCATTATTAGACATTGAACGTGTTAATTGAGGTAATTCAACACTATAATATCAAATCATTTAATAGAAGAAGAAGGAAAAAAAGAGAAATAATGATAACAAAATAAATACCTTTGACATAAAAATTTAACTAAACGATCTTTTCGTATAAGTTCATCACGTGTTTTATTTTTTTTATAAAAATGTTTAACAGAAATATTACGTAAAATTGTATCAAGAAAAAAATCTCGAAACCATGTCCATTCATTCTAAATAAAATAATATTTTTCAAGAAAAAAACAAAGAAATATTAAAAATTATTATTTCATACGTTTTCAAGACGTAATAAATGTGAATGAACATCAAATTCATCAAGAAGTATTGTTCGTCCTAAACGATGTACTATCATTGATATTTGACTATGTTTATTAAATGGAACTTTAAGTAATTTTTTAATATGCTATTTTTGAATAGATAAAAAATTTAAAAAAAAAAGTGTTTTGTTATTTAAAAACAAATAAAACATACTTCAGCATCTGTTATAACATCAACTTCACCCAAACTATCCGTATGTGCATTTGCTGAACGAAAACTAAAATTAAATAAACATAAAATTTAGAACAATCTAATATTAATAATGATTAAACTTTGTTGAAAAAAAATCTTTACTAAACATTCAACAGTATAATTTTATGTATTCGAATAAATGATATATAGGGTGTCCAGAAAGTAACTAAGAAAAATTTGAATATCATCGTCATATGGGCTGATATTTTTAACACTAATAAAACAGTATTCATAGCCCATATTCATGAGAGACGCATATTGTTAAAAATTGTTTTGAAGTATTTACAACTGACTTTAACAAAGATCTGTAACCTTTTACAAGTTATTAAAAAAACAATATATTTATTTCTTTAGCCAAGAAGAAACGATATCTAATGTTTACAATTAATTCTCAATACTAGTGTCGCTTGGACTTAAAGACCATCGGAAAGTTTCAGCCAAAAACAGGAAGAATTAGTTGACAAAGCTACAATGTTAATTTTTCATAACTCATGAAATGTTACAGATCTTTGTTGAAGTCAGCTGTATTATTTAAAAAACAATTCTTGAGAAGCGTTTCTCCTATAAATATGAATTATGAACACTGTTTTATTACTGTTAGAAATATCAATCCACATGATGGAAATATCCAAATTTTTCTTTGTTTTAGCTACTTTCTTGACATCCTATATGTTATGAAAAATCGAGAATTTCAGTCAAATAGTAGTTTTATAGAACAAAAGTATTGATAAACTTTTCATCAGAATACACTCGTTATGATTAATATGATATAATTTTATTTAACTTGCATGTTTGTCGAGCAAATATATTTCTATAAAATGAGACATTGACGAGATTCGTACGACATATAATTCAATCTTTGTTACAGTTTTATGAAAATTCCTCAATCAAGAGTTATAATCTATTCACAAATTTTGGTAAAAATATAATGAGAACTGAGATATACGTCAGACAAATTTCGTTGATATCTCATTTTTTTTAGCAAAAATGTTTACTCTACAACTTCAAGAACTTTGTACTAAAATAAACATTGAACAGACAGCTATACAATTTTGAATTTGAAAAGTTGCATTTCAACTTTTGATACATTCTGAATCTCGACAAAAGAAATCTTTATTTATATTTTGATTGCTTACAAACATAACTGTAAACGTAGAATAAACTTTTTGTCTTGCATTATCTTTTTTCTAGAATATTCTAGAATAAAATATTACAAACAGTGATGTAATAACTATTTAAACAATATTTTATCAAAGACATTAACTTTTAAAATTCGACAATTCTATTAAGAATTCGAAGGTTTTTGAAGCTGATTACTTTCTTTAAATCAAGGATATGATAAAACATGTCATAGTTTAAGAAATTCTTTTAGACATGATGCTTATTTACAAATTTTAAAAAAACAAATAATTATTTTACATAAAGGTTACTACATTTTATGATAATAGCCTCTAGAATTGAATCTCTCAATTTTGTTTCTTGGAAATTTTAACATTTAATATGAATGATGAATTAAAATTTTATATTCAAATGAAAAAAAATCGTGCTGTTTTTTCACTAACCTTCCAAAAATATCATCATGATTTGCTCTTTGTTGAAGCCAATATGAAAGTAATAAAGCTATTTCATTGTTCCATACAGGTTTTTCATTAAGATCTAAAAATATCTTATTTATTTAATAAAAAACAAACAAAATTTTCATTAAATTACCTGTGTCTTTATCTAAAAAATTACATTTAATATATGGTACTGTTGATGGTGAATTAATTGAAACAAGACTTGATGACGAAGATTCATCCATGATGCAATCAATGTCGTATAAAAAAATTCAAAATAATAAAACGTTTTTTCGTTTTCTTCTCAGTCAAGTACGAAATAAGTATGAATTTTACACGTCAATTTACGAACCAATTATTTAAGTGACTAGATGTCATAACATATGTCATATTTGAAGGAAGAAAAAAACTTACTTTATTGTATTACTCAATAGATTTCTCCACAAAAGCACAATGGCGTCAAAATTAAAAATAGCTTTAATACAATTTCTTGGTTCATCATCTAAACAACAAAATATAACTCGAGCATGTGATTTAATCCGTCAAGCAGCATCAAATGGTGCACGTCTCATTGTTTTACCTGAAATATGGAATAGTCCATATGGTATTAAATATTTTTCTGAATATGCTGAAACAATACCTAATGGTGAAACAATTCAAGCATTAAGTAAATGTGCACGTCAAACAAATACTTATCTTGTTGGTGGTTCAATACCTGAACGTGATGGTGAAAAACTTTATAATACATCAACTATATTTGATCCTAATGGAAAATTATTAGGAAAATTTCGTAAAATACATTTATTTGATATTGATATACCAGGTAAAATAACTTTTAAAGAAAGTGATGCATTATCACCTGGTCAACAATTATTTACATTTGATATTGATCAACAATATCGTATTGGTCTTGCTATTTGTTATGATCTTCGTTTTCCATTATTAGCATCTTTATATTCAAATCGTCAGTGTCATGTTCTACTTTATCCTGGTGCATTTAATATGACAACAGGTCCAGCACATTGGGAATTATTATTACGTGCACGTGCACTTGATAATCAAATGTATGTTGCTGGTATTAGTCCAGCACATGATGAACAAGCAGATTATAAATCATGGGGACATACAACATTAGTTGATCCATGGGGAACAATAATTAGTAAATGTGAAATGAATGAAGAAATTATTTATGGAGATATTGATCTTGAACATTTAAATACAATCCGAAAACAATTACCATATTTATCTCAACAACGAAATGATGTTTATACGGTGATTGATAAAAAAGAAGATAATTAAAATTGAGATTCAAGTGCAAAACCATCTATTTCTGTTTTTAAGTCAAAAAAATTTCCTATTATGATTATTGTTTGATTTTTTTGTTTTTCTTTTGATTTAGTTATGATGAAGAAGTTTCATGATCAGAAATAATATTTATTATCTATACTATAGAATTATTATTAGAACATTTTATTCGTCATAGACTGAATAACTTGCATAGTTTACGATTGTTTCTTTTTTTTAAATTTTAGATAGATATATATGGACCATGATGATTCATGTAATGCTGTGCAATGTATCGACGGTAGTGGAAAAGATATAAAAAGTAGCGAAAAGATACCTGGTGGTGAAAAACAGAATTTACCAGAAGAGCCTACACTATCCGAAGGTTTGTTGATTAGCATAATTATATAACTGTTTCTAAATTTTACTAGATATTTAGGATCAACAAAACCTAAAATGGGTATATTTTTTTGTGATATCTTCTTTATGTGTTGCTTATGTTTTTGATAATATGCGAATACTTGAACGTATTATATTCATCGATTGACACATTGATGATTAGATAAACATTTTTCACGAGTGAATTCTGTGAAAAATTGACTCACATGCACGAATGCTCTATAGAATTATTTTAATTTTTCAAATGAAATGTCAAACAGATATAGTAATTCCTTTCAATTTATCTAAAGATGATTAAATAGATAATCACTAAAAATACTTTGAAAAACGGATATCGAGATTTTGACAAAAGAATCCTAAATTAATATGTTGACATGCCTCTGATAGGAAGTATTCGTAATTTTTGTGTCTCTTCATTGATAATAATTTAATTGTCAACATTATATCTATAATACAATTTCTGTTAGTCACCTTCCTATAAATTCTTCGAAGTTTTCTTCAATAAAATCTATTTCTTGAATTAATTTGATTTGAATAGACTATTTCATTGTGAAATTTTGATAATTCTTTTCAAGTATTTAATCATAATTAATTCAATATAAGGTTTCAACGATTCGAAATTTGAGCGATTGAAAAATATTAGAAAAAACATATAAAAATTGAAATCTGCCAAATGTACCAAATCTCGATAGCCTCAATATTTATCCGAGTTTTTTTATTTTATTCATCAAAAAAAGTCATAAAAACGGGTTCGTATTCAAAATTAGCACAAAAGTCTACATCGAATAGTATAGTCAATATTTAAAATTAATTTACCTCAAATTTCGTTCTTAGAGAAGCTATAGATCGAAATTTGACAAAAATTAATATTAAATATTGATTATACTATTCAACGCAAATTTTTGTGCTAATTTTGAATATGATATTCGTTTAGTTTGGAACTGAAGTTCTAATCGTGAAAATCTCTGAATACGAACTCATTTTATGGCTTTTCCATTATCATATTGAAAAAATCGATTTTCTCAACAATATTTTTCAAAAAGTCTGCATAAAATTTTTCTTAATTATACGAAGAATAAAATTTTAAAAAATCAGATAAATATTAAGGCTATTAAGATTTGATACATTTGGCGTATTTCAATTTTTATAGCGTTTTCTGATATTTTTTACCATAATTTTTCTAAGTTTCACTACAAAAACACCAAAAAAAAAACTGTTGCTCAAATTTCGAATTGCCATCGTCATAAAATTATCAAAACTAGATTCATCTTTGGAATATAATAAATTTTTTGAACTTCAAAAATATTCTATAAAAAAAAAACACAATTATTTATTTAATTCTAATACAAGTGATTTGATATAATGAAAAATTAACACTTTTATATCGAATAAATTATGATTCGCTATATTAAAATGTCTAACTGTTTTTTCCTGTGACTTGCAGGTTGTGCGCCGTCAAAACCAAGTGTGTGATCCAATGATAATATTAATAAATGATTATTCTTATATTTATTGATATTCATTTGATTTATATATTTAGAAAGTGCAAAAAAACAAAAGACGACCGAAGAAGAATCTACAACCAAGGAAAAAACTGGCAATGCTCAACAAATTAATAAAGAACAAAACGTAGAAATTAATTAATTGTTATATCTAATTAAATAATTGTTCTATTTTCAGAAATCTAAAACAAATACTAATCCTACCAATCGACAAATATCAAACGCTTCTGCTCACTACATGAGTGATGATGACGATAATGAAAATAATTCTAATAATAAATCATTTGCTCGTATAACACGATCATCATTGTTTTCATCTAAACTTAGTATTCGTTTTGATGATTCTGATGAAGAGGAAAATTCATCATATACGTCATGGGCTCAGCGTGATATAGCTGAATATCGTAATGGTTATCCAGATGTACGACAATATCCGCAAATAAAAGATAATTATAAATTTTATGCGAATAAAATGCCTTCTTTTCCTCATGGAGACTATATTGATAACATACATGATAAGTGGTTTGGTGATTATCATCGATTAGAAATTCATCATGGTTATATTCAATGGTTATTTCCATTACAAGAAAAAGGTCTTAATTTTTCTGCTGAACCATTGCAAAAACATGAAATTGAATTAATTAAAAATGATATGAAAGCATTAAAACGAATATTAACATCTTATATACTCATGTAAGTTAAGAATTTCAATCTTGAATTAAATTTTCTAAACAAATAATTTTTATAAATTGATATTTTCTATTGATTCTTTTTTTTTTCTTGTAGGCTTGATTTTTATGGTTTTGAATTAGTTAATGAAAAAACAGGTGAAATACGTCGTTTACCTAATGATAATTATAAATCACGTTTTCGTAATTTGAATACATCATCTCATAATTATTTACGTATTACTGTAAGTTTAGAAAAATAATAAACAATTCATAATTTTGTTGTATTGTTGTTGTTGTTTTTTTCTAGCGTATTTTAAAATGTCTAGGTGAATTCGATTATGAACATCTTAAATTTCCTTTTCTTGAACAAATATTACGAGAAAGTATTACAGAAAATACATTACCAAATTGTCTTCGTTCATGTAAAGATTATTGGATTGAAACATTGAAAAGTCGAGATGAACGACGTGCTATTCGACTTTATGCAAGAGAATTAATTGATTATCAAAAAAAGGGAATAAAACCACCACAATCGCATTGTGCTGTTCGACCAACAACATCGGCAACAAAAAAACCTAAGCAATCGCCTTCAAAAACAATGAAACAACGTAATGATAGTGACTAATGATTTTCCTAATATCTGTGATAAATGATATACGAAGAATCAAAACTACTTTTCGACAAAAAGATACCTTTTTTTTTCTTCTTTGGTCTCATATTTGAATAAAATAATATAATGAATTAAAAGAATGAACTGTATATGTTTAAAAGACATGAACAAAAAAAAAAAACGAACTTGAATAATACAAAAAAAAAATTATTTCTCGAATATTCTAATATTCTACTTAAACACACATTGAATGACAAGAAAGAAAAAAAACTTTTTTAACAAACTGCAAACAGATCAGCTGATATGGATATGAATGGTTGTTTTGTTTTTAAGTTTAGAGAATAAATGTTTATGTCTATTGTTTTATTTGTTTAAAGATCACGACCAGCTAAATAAATAGTAATAAAAATTTCGTAAAAAAAAAAAGTTACAAATAAATTTACTCACTTTCAACAGAGACAGTACATGATTTTTCAACTTTGCCCAAAGTATTGCTTGCAATACATGTATATGTACCTTGATCATTTCGTTGTAATGATTGAATTTGAAGCCATGATGTAAGAACATGAGCATTAGGTCCACCTCGAACTAATGTCGAGACACGATCATCATCAGCTATATTAATTAATAGATATATTATATTTTAGTTAATATACATATATATATATTTACTTGGATAGACGATTTGTTTTCCTGTTGGAGCAGTATAAACCCATTCAACAACAGGTAATGGAACACCAGCAGCTTCACATGTTAAATATACATTACTTCCTGTTTTATTTGAAACACTAACGGGTGGTAATGTTATTTCAGGTGCTAGAAAACAAAAAATAAAAATAAAAAAAAATAGAAGAAAAATAAGAGTTGTTTCTTTTTTTCATCTTAACAAATATATATATATACCTGAATCGCATGGTTTACGTTTAAAGACTTTAATAACAGGTTTTTGTTCAATTTTAGCAAGTTTGCTTGATTCCATTAAATGACAATAATTACGATAGGTCTTACCATCGGAACTTTTTTTTAAAAAAGAAATGTTAAAAATTTCGCTCGAGAAATTTATGATTTCAACTTACCCACAAACTTCAACTTGATCATTACATTCACATAGAGCTTCACGAGGTGCTCCACGATTATCCATACGAAGTCTATATTGTCGAAAAAATTTATTTTATGTTGAAAATGACATATCTTCTTTGAAATTTTGATGCTTCTCTTAATTTTTTAAAAATTTTTGACGTAGAAAAACCTTAAGAGGGACCATGCCTATGAATCTCTGGAACTGAATTATGACCGTTTTCCTGTATTTTGGATCCAACTTTAAGTATTTACCAACAAAATCGAATAACGGAATTTAAACTTGAAATTTTTTCCATCGATAGGCTTAATGTTTAGTAGAATATCCTGGAAGTTTCAGCCGGAAAGAGTATTCCTTTCTTGAGATATTGAATTTTCAAATAAACTCAATTTTCATAGCATTTCTATGACAAATGATCATTTTTTGCAAATTCAATATCTCGACAAAGGAGTATTCTTTTCGGCTGAAACTTTTAGAGTATTCCCACAGTCATCAGACATATCTATAGACAAAATTTCGTTATTTGTTTTTTTCCATATACACCTAAAGTTGGATCGAGAATTCAGTAGAACAGTCATAACTCAACATCAAAGGTTTATGAGTACGAACCCTTTTAGGATTTTCTAGTCTTATCCAGCAGAAGCCCAAACGATAGGTATCAATTGAATTAGTGTCCTGGTTACCTTATTGACAAGAGCTATTCTAGACTGAATTATCACCTCGAAGATATTTCAATCAATATTACAATTTACTTACTTGCATTGAAGATTTTCACCACATGCTTCGTATTGTTTGCTCGATGGAACATCTGGGTGATTGCATAGTTCACTCTATATATAAAATAAATATGAACAGATGTTTTCTATAGACTTATGTGTTCAACCTCGCGTTGAGCGCAAACTTGACAACAACCACATCTGTCGAGTGTCAATCCGGCAAGACATTCTTTGTCCAAGGTCTACAAATATTTATACAGATTTTTTCAATGAACAAAAAAAAATCCTAGACAATGTCATTCTCGAATTACCAATGGACATTTGCTTGAATCGCATGATTCACATGGTTTATTTTGTGCTATAACTATTGAACAAAAGATAGTTAAAACAAGTAATGTTACAAGATGAAGAGTAGCCATCATGTATTATTAATGTTAAACGAGCTGATATGTTGTTTGTTCTTTCCTCGTTCTTTCTCACTGATACTGGCTTCAAATATTATTACGTCCGTTTGCGGTTATATACGAGAACGACGACGACCATATATTGACAAGTTTCTAACCAATATAGAGAAAGCGAGAGAGAGAGAGAGAGAGAGAAAAAAAGCTAGTACAAATGGCAACCGTACAGTTGTATATAACGAGAAGAAAAAAAAGAAGGAGAGGATGGCTTTATCATCATATATCTTCCAGATCTATTCCATGTCAGTATATCTATGTTTACTTATCAGTCTAACCAAGAAATCTAGCGTCCTTGTTCTCTACTTCTTTTATCCTATAGAAAAATTTCCAGAAAACACAATTAATTCTGTTATCTATGGGGCGGTCGCCAATACTGTCGTATTCTATTGCATAAACTGTACACTTATCCTTTCTTTCTGTTGATATTCACACATCTATTCGCTCGCTCATAGGTTGTATAATAGACATACACCAAAAAAACAGAGAGCAGACAGAAAAAAAAACTTGTACTATACAGCATATACATGTAGTAACGAGAATATTAATAGGGGATGCCAATGTCTATGTTGTCCTTCAGCGCTTTACAGAAAGCGAAGGCTCCTAGTAGTGTTATCGAATAGGTATTTTATTTTAACAAAAAAAAACACCAAAATACTTAATTGTACGTAAATCGATGATATTTAGAATCATTTGAAGTCGATCTTTTTTGAACTACTCAATTGGAATTAAATAAAATTTGAACTTGTACTTCGAATACCCAAAACAAATAGTTATAATTCTGTTTTTTCTTATACTGTATACAGATATAACAAATGAATTTTTAATAATAAAGTATGACTTCTATTCTGATTGTTATCTATGAAAAATATCGTCTATTTGTATTTTTTTATTTACATTGTTTTTGAACTATTATGTTGATTGAATCTTGCAAGGGTACATTATTCAAAAAATATTATAGTGTTGATGTAGAAACTATATCGATAAATACTGTGTGAAATATCATTGATCTATTGATATCAACAGTATTTTTATCTGTTGGACATAAAACCTTCATAAGAGATGATGATACGATTTTTCAATCAAAAAAATAATTAAATTCAAAAATCTTTGTTATGATGAAGATATAAATTTAAATCAACAATTAGTTAAACTTAACATATTATTTTATTCAATTTAAAATGTTTTGTTTCTTGAATTGTTCTCTACTGCTTGAAATCATTTGTGGGCTCAGATTGAATGTTGAACAGTGGACATTTATTTTGAATTTTTTGTCCTTCGTTTTTTTTTTTTTTGATTTTTAGTATAGACGGATTTATACTCGGCAAGAAGAAATAGTCAAGAAGTACTGCATTCAAAAAAGAAAAAAATTGGTTAACTCTTTAGGAATTCGTAGTGATATTTATTAGTCACATCTTTTTTTGTATTAATAGATCATTAAAATGTGGAAATAATGAAGAGAATTACATGATTATATGAACCATTTCATGAATTTTAATTTCTATGAGTAAGTAATAACTAGATGAATTCTAAAAATAGAACTTCCGTTCATGAAAAAATGTAGCTGCATGATATTTTTTTTATAATTAAAAAAGAGTTTGTTTTATTCAAGGTTTCATCATATAAGCTTTCAATAAATGATTCAAAGTTGATATTCATAAATTAATTTATTAAAATAAAAACGACACTTTCAAGGATATCGAGATGACGCATGATCTACAATGAATTATTGCATTATAAAAATGAAACAACATATTTCTTTTCTTTTTCTTTTCCTTTGATAAACTATTTAAAAGATTATCTTTTGTAAAAATCTTCTTGCTTATTGTTAGACCAAGAAAAAACATTAAATTTTAAACAGAATATTTTAGGCTTTATGTCATAATTTTATATGCAAATAGCGAAAGATGTGGAAAAAAAATTATCTATTCTCTTTTTTAAGATCTACAGATATTCGTAAAAATAATTCTAATATTAAGAATAAAGGCATTATGAATGATGTATTATTTCTCCACTCACCAATATTGAATAATATGTCATTTAATAATTCAGCTATTTTTTATAAATAATCCTCTTCATTTACAATTAACTATAAATTTTTTATTCTTGAGTTTCATCAGTAAGAAAAGAAAATGTCATTATAAATATTAAAATACATTTTTATGCTTATGAAGAACAACTACTGACACACGTATTTCTGACAAACATCTAAATGAATAGGGCAGAAAATCATGCTCAGCAACATAACTCTATGAACATCCGCTAACATTTAATAATTTATGAACGTGACAAAATTAAATGAAGTTAAGTTAAAACTGAAAAATTCTAGCACAAAAAACGAATAGTTATAAACTACACTGTAAGTCTATTCTCATTAACAATTTATCTTCTACATTAATTACAGTGGTAACATCCTCTAGCATCTACAAACACCTTGATAATCACATCAAAATTCTCAGATATACATGAAAAACAGCTAAATCATGAAGAGAAATAGACTTATGAGGTAGTTTAAAGGTGTGTAAATGGATGTCATTGCTTTTCTGCTGTGGTTTATCTAATTACGTCAAGTTCAAATTTTTGTCATTGGTTATTAGTGAGCATTTATAGAATTCTTTCGTTGATACTGATTCTTTAACGTATTTAATTAGATGTTATGTCAGAACTATGATTGTTAGTATCTTTTCTTGATAGAAGTATATTGCAAATAAGAGTTCATGAATATAACGTGTTTGTATGACATTGACCAATTAATTTTGATTGCGTTAAGTTTAAACATTCGATAATAATTGATCAGATATCGATACAAAAGATATTTTTATATGTCTTTTCAAAATCGAAAATAATTATGTATTGTCTATAAAGTGTATCATTTAATTAATCATAGTTTCTTATCTTTTATTGATTAAAAAAAAACAATCTTCAGTAATTTATCTCAATATTCCAAAAAACGTCATCTTCAATTTTTTTTTTTAAATATCAATTGTAACTTGATCAACCATGTTCGATTTATTTCTGTATAGCTCTTAGCTTGAACGATGTATTTAATAATAAGAAAAATAATCAACATAGAAACATTTGATGCTAGTAAAATATAAGAGTCATTTAGAATGTTTATTCTCTAGTTAACTATAGAGTACTTAATTCGTATATATCTCGACTTCATATTAAATTTTTCGAACAGATTATATTAGAACATCTCGTAAAATCTTCACATACTAAGATATTCTATAAGGTAATAGTATTATCTTTTAATATAATTCAAATAGTTTATTTTAATAAAAAAAGGAATCTGGTAAGCACATAAGAATAAATAAAAATCATTGTGACATATAAATACGTTAGTTTGTAGGTGTATAAATCAACTCTTTTTCTGATTTTATTTTAAATTAACTTTGTTATAATAAATCTTTTAGCTAACTTGTATTTTTAATTATTCATGTGGATATTTATAAAAATAATGTTTCTTTTTTTCATAAAATCAAACATTTATAATTCCATTGAATTGTTTTAGTATTTAATTAAATATCTTCTATAGAAAGAAAAAGACACTCTAATGGGAAATCATGAAACAGCTATGTAACCATAGGGAAAAAAGCTTTATCAAGTTGTAATATATAGTTCAACAGAGAAAAGACAATCTATATAAATAATTCTTTAGGAGTACAATACACGAAATTTCAATTCTATAATAATCATACTTCAGAGACACATAAATAGTCATTGATTTCCATAGAAAATCAATATACCACAGGGTGATCAAAAAGTTACTTTCTTGAGAAAAAAAAGACCCAATTATATTTATCGCTATGAATATCGATAAATAACTTGTAATATTTTTCAATCAATACTTTAGAAACTTGTTGTTTAATTCAAAATTCCTATAATAAGTATATGTATTTATTAATTGATGTAATCTCAAAGTTCTAATCATGAACAATTGAAGTTATCAAATGAATTACTTACAAAATATTGTTTGTTTTCATAATTAGTCGAAGATTGTAAGCTTTTTGTTATGTTAAAAGTAACACTTCAAGAGAATATATATATATTTCTTTTTAAATTGTTTTTCTTATTAACATGAACTATGAATACTGCTTTATTAATAGTAAAACAAAATGTCAGTCTATTTGATAAAAATATGTCGTAAATATTCAAGGTAATCTTTCCCTTGATTATAACTTTTTGGATTCGTGCGTGTATATTGATCAATAAAGTAATATAGGAAAACAAAAACCTTTTTTTTTTTGAAGTTAAGAACATAAGTTTGTACTTAAGTGATTATCCTCAATTACTTTTTATTTTTATTTTACTTCTACTTTATATATTTTCATTTCTGTAAAATAACAATACAACTTCATTTCTTTTTTGTCATTAAGATGTCAACATTCTTCGTATTTTCATTGAGTTTTCTAATTTCATCAATATTATTTATATCATGCTCACCAATATATCGTCCATTGTATATTTCTTCTTATGAAGAAAATGATAAACCATATTACGGTCAATTGATTAGCGATGAAAATGATTATATTCCATTAATGATCTATCCAAAACATGCATCGATTCATCATTTTCAACGATCACTTTCAAATTATCCTCGAACAAGTCGTAATTCATGGTTTCGTGTATCAACTTATCAACATATGAAACCAACTGTTGAATCCGAAGAAAAATCTGCTGGTGATAATCTTATGCGATGGGGATGATCATGATTATAATAGACAATAAGCAAATATACTTTTTTCTTTTTGCTTTTTAATAAATATAAATGACATGCAAATTGTGTCTATGTTAAATAGAAGACAAATGATATGATAAGAAATTTAACAATCAAGAAAAAAAAAAGACATTAGAATAATTGATGAACCTCATCAAAATGAAATTGTAATGTTTTATCTTAAACACCTACGCTTAAGGAGTCTTATATAGACAGAGGTTTAATTCAATTTAGTATAGCAAATTGTGTACGAGTATTAGTCAAAGGAAATTCAAATTGTAACGACGAATTTGAAAAAAATGTATTTATCTACTATGTTAATATTATTCTTTGCAGTAATTACATTGGTTAGTACAGTTGCTATGCCTTTTTCATCTCTACATCAAATTGATGATGATAAAATAAACAGCTTTATGGATGATGTTCAAATCCAACGTTTTCTTAGACGACCTGTAGAACTAAATTCATGGCCATATAAACGGAATTCTCCTTTATGCGATTATCGCCTACAATTTCGACCACTCGCATTAACACCAGCTCTTTGTGCATATCGTTAGTACTTTTTTTTTTTTAAATTACAATATGTAAATATTAATTTGATTTATTTAGGAAATAATTATAAAGAAGATCCAAATCAAATAAATCCATTTAAATACGGTTAAAATAGTTTTTCGTGATTTAACACTCTATGAAGTATCGATTTTATGCTTTGAATTTGAATATGTATTAATAAAAATAAAAAAAAAAAACTCAAAAAGAAAGTTTGTTGTCAAATAAGCATTTATTTATTTACATTTGGTTTGAGAATTCAAATTAAAAAAGAAAATGACTGATCAAATTGACTCAATGGAAAAATAATTTTCTATCTATTTTATCAATGAAGGAGATTTGGTGAATAAGTTTATTTTAGTTATAGTACAAAAATAATTGAATAATGTAAATTGAAAAACAGGAAAAGCGATAAGATTTGAGTTACTCAAATATAAAATATTTTCTTTACAGTCACCATATATATATGTTCATAATCGAATTAACGAATATTTTTCTTCGTAAATAAAATTATCTCCCTTTTTTTTTGTCTAGTGTTGACGAAAATGTTTAAAAAAAAAATACATACAGACTTTACCGTTCATGATTTGATAAACAAGAATGTTATTGGTCATGAATGAAGAGACAGCTACTTCGAAAATGCTATGATTTAAGTGTACACTAGTAGGTAAATTACTCAAATAATTAATAATTAATTAATCGCGTTTGTTTCGAAATTTGAAAATTAGTGAATAAAATTAATTAAGAGTAAATTAAAGCAATGGGTAAATTCTGGAATTAAAATGATCGAATATAAACAGCAAAAGAAAAAGATAAAACTTTAAAAACAAAATCTAGAATTCAATATCAATGATTGAAAATATTCGAAATTGTAGTAGAAAGTAATAGAATGAATCAAAATATTGAATTCAATTTTCTTCCTGATAAAACGCTTTTTAGAAAAGGTTTCAGTACTTTTATCAGAACAAAAGCTAATTTTCTTTTCCAGAACATGGTTTTCTTCTTTTTTTTTGTTTGTCATCACTGTTTTTTCTTTCTTTAATAATAACATTTTCTTACTTCCGACCAAGCGCTATCAAAACTATTAGATGGAGCACACTAGCCTATGTGTTGAAATTATGAAAACAAGCAGAACTATCTTGTAAGCAAAATCAGAAGATGAAATAAAAATTAGAATATTGTAAAATCTATTTTATTATTTCCGTACAAGACAAACTCTACATATAAGTTGATAGAGTAATGATAAATTCGTGATACTTACTCCTATAAAAGTTACTCACGCCATACTTATTACTCAATACCGGCTCTTACAAATTTATTAATAACAAAACTAACATATTGTATATTAAATTTAACTGTAGGCATTACTATTATCCTTTTACTTTTCGTCGATATTTCCTAGGCGCTTGCATAGTTTCGAATCAAATTTTTTAAAATTGTCGTAAAATTCTATTGAGATTGATCTATTTTGTGTACCAAATATTATAATTATTATCTTTAAAAATTAAAGATAGTTTTAGTCAACTAGTAAGTACAACTTTGAAAATTATCATATACCCAAGGAAGATAAAGCGATACTTGAGTAGTCAGAAGTACGATACTTTACTCTTACTTCAAAGTGCTGAAGTCTCACTTTTTACACCTTGCATATAATTACCTCTTTGAACCAGCGTTTGAACCGGTCCGGACCGGTTTAGAAAGTCAACCGGGTCGGTAAATATCGGAAATTTACCGGTTTAAGTTTAAAAAATATTATCTTTACTTAGCTCTTATTCGATAAGAAGAACTATATATTTTGCTATGAAGTAGAATAAATTCTCCATCATTATACATATATGTCCAGAAAGTCTTTCGATAGTGCCAATATTAAAAATTTTGTTCAGTTTATAATCGATATTTATCGCGATGATTGTAATACTATAATAGACACGAAGACAATTAGGCATATGTTTTATCAGTTTTGAAATAGACCAGGCAGTACTATATAAATCAGTTAGGAAAATCTTAATATCCTTTTAAAAAAATTAGGGATGCACCAATTCCTAAAGCATGATATGAAAGATGGCAATTTTTTCTGTTAAGAGTGTAACTGGCTTTCCATTGTTTACATCAGTTATGATCAACTTTTTTTGCTCTACCTGAAACTGTGATCGAGATTTCCGAAATAAAAAATAAAGGTCATGGAATTGGTCTGGAATTGGTCGAAAATTCGAATTTTGAACTTTTTTTCGACCGATTCCAGACCAATTCCAACTGATTTTGAGGCTCGTGCTTTCCTTGGGATAAAATCCATCACCAGATTCATAAAGAGCATTCAAAACTGAACACAACTGGCATAAAGAATTATCGAAAGTCTCGTAATTCGTAAGACGAAATCTATTTTGATTTTCATTGAGAAATTCTAGGAATTGGTCGGAATTGGTTTATGCTGCATAAAATACCATACTTCCAGTTTTGCCCAGCTGCAGAGTATACGATGATACTGTATGTCAATTGTATTCAGTTTCTTTAGCTCTATCTGAAACTGTGATCGAAATTTCTGAAATAAAAAGTAAAGGTTACGGAATTGGTCTGGAATCGGTCAAAAAAAGTTCAAAATTCGAATTTTCGATCAATTCCAGACCAATTCCATGACCTTTATTTTTTATTTCGGAAATCTCGATCACAGTTTCAGGTAGAGCAAAAAAAGTTGATCATAACTGATGCAAACAATGGAAAGCCAGTTACACTTTTGACAGAAAAAATTGTCATCTTTCATATCATGCTCTAGGAATTGGTGCATCCCTAGAAAAAATGATGATACTTCATGATTATAAAGATTATGCATATCTTTTCTAAAAGTTTCATAAAAAGTCACATAATCTTTTCTCAAGTACGAATATTGAAATTTTCTAAGATATGCTTATAAAAAAAACTATTCCTAGGCCGATTTCAGTTTTCTGTACGTATGATACAAGGAGCTAAATCATATTGTTTCAACCGTGTTATTTAAATATTAGATAATTCAATTTACAACTAGAAATAACTTTATCAATTTCCATCGTACTTTCGGATGTTTGGAACCATTTTAAAGCGGTAAGCTTGACCGGATATTGACCGGTTTGCCGGGATTTCACCGGTTCAGAAATGATTAACAACCGGCCGGACCGGACCAGACCGTTTTATCTTTTTCTTACCGGTTCCAACCCTGCTTTGAACATGACATATGCGTAAATCTTTTCAAGAAGTTTTTCATAAATACAGCTTAATTCGTAACAATTGGCTTCATTAATGACAACGTGCTTTAAATCATGAATTAAGGATTATATCAGGAGAGAACTTAAAACTTAATGAGGTATGCAGAAATAAAATTGAAGAATAAAAAAATTTCAAAAGTCGCACAGGATAGTTTGCTAAAGCTATGTTTAGTTTTCAAAAATGAAAGCGATAATATTTGATTTTAAAAATTTGATTCAAAACGATGAAAATGTTTGATATCAACAGCAAGCGAGAATTGTCCTTCTTCTTTGATCCACGTGACACCAATAAGAGTTGTCAATGTAAAATTAGTTGCTTTGAAACATCAATGAGTTGAAAATGATGAAAACTAGTTAAAAACGATTATGAAACCATACAAAAAAAATAAATAAATAGTTGAAACAAATACAATATGGGTATTATATCTTTCTTTCTTGGTGGAAAATATTCTACAACTATTTTAATAGAAACCTTCAAAATAGATTAAATATACCAGGTAACTGATTCTGGCAGCCGGATTCTTTTAGTTCCGGTCGTACCGTCGCAGAGCCAGCCACCATATCATATCACCAGATTTCTGCTTCTAAGTGTTCACCATTTTTCCGAGATTTACGATTGAAAATGGTTCGCATTTCTTGACTTAGATAATACAGCACATGTCATAATCATGTAGACATAGTCCTACGACCATAGATCGCGAAATATCAGGACAAAATCAAGTTTTTCAGTCGAAAGCAGGAAAAACGGGATATTTCTAAAAATTCAAGAAGCAATCAGGAAAGTAGGGTTGCTTCGAAACCTATTATTACATGAACTAATAAACTTCTTCATTAAATGTACTGATATTTTGTCAGAGATCAGACTTCAGTTAGAATTATAATTTATAGAAAAGTGATATGTTCGTCTGTAGAGTATGAGTGGAAAAAGTTTAAGAATCGAAATTTTAGGATCAGCTTTCGGCAGTATGATTCTTTTTTCAGCGTCAAAGAAGCCTCACTTATAAGGCTTTCGGGAATCAACAAAAATTGGAAAAACTAGGCTTCAGTATTTCTCTTCGAAGAATCATAAAAGTTGGAGCGAAAACAGAAAAACGAGGTTTTTTTGAAATCACTGCTCTCAATCGGTAAAAATGCCATAATAAATCAACGTTTTTTTGCTGGTTTTTATCGATTCGAAAAATTTTTAGAACCAAAAAGAGCAATT